CAGTCTACCAAGCCTGACTTAGGACAAGTCCCTCCTCCTCTCCAGGACTCAGTTTCCCTCCCTATACACTGATGACATAGTCCAGTTGTACTCTGAGGACCTTTCCGGTTTGACACTGAAAATTCTTGGAATCATATGGTCTAGAGTTCTCAAACATTTATATATATATATATATATATATATATATATATATATATATAGCATTGCATTTACAGCATTTTTCATTTTAGGCTTTCACCTAGAATAAAAGTACTCGCTAACAAATAAAATTAGCTAAAAAATTATTTTTATTGTCAGTGAAAGTTTTTGTACCAGGCATTTTAATGACCATGAAAATAACTTAGATCATTAAATCTACGATATTATTTTCTTATACCTTGATTTTTACCCCTTAATTTTGATCTCAAACTGTAACCAACTGAAGTTTCTGCTAAATTTGCCCAAAGGCATAACAATCTTTCTGTCATTAATGAATTACTATAGTTGGCACAGTATAGAAAAGTAAAGGATCTACACACATAGAATCCTAATACACCAGTCACCTTTACCATGGTGGATATGTTCCAAGACCCCAAGTGGATGCCTGAAACTGTGGTTTATACTATTTCCTACCTATGCCATGTTTTTCCTATATATTCATACTTAATATTAAATTAATTTTATATTATGTGCAGTAAGAGATTTACAGTAATAACTAATAATAAAATAATTATAACAATTTAGCATAATAAAAGCTATTTAACACTTATGAATTGTTTATTATTGAAATTTTCCATTTTATATTTTCAGAATGCAAATAAGGGATGAATACTATAAAGTTAAATCTACTCAATAAGTAGATCCAATAAAAGTTAAAAATAAAATTTTTTATCAATTCACAATTTCTATTGTTAGTAAATGTTAGAATCTAATCAGATGTAGTATGTTGCTCTTTGCATTTTTATTACTATCTTTATTTTACTACAGCAAATTTTGTACCCAATTTGTATTAAATAAGGTAAGGGACAGTATGATTATTGTTACAAAGGCCTGCCAACAGCGTGTCCTGGCTTTTGAAATGTATAAGGTGCATCAATCATGTTGACAATAATGTGTTTGGTATATGCTACATACTATCAAAAATGTTCTATAAAACATTAACTCATTTAATCTTCACAACTCTTTAAGGTAGGTACCACTACCATCTACATGTTACAAATGAGGAAACAGACTCAAGGTCATACAGCTAGTACATAGTGTTAGGTTTGAACACAAAGAATATGGCAGTCTGAATACTTAACTCCCACACCATACAACCTCCTGCTGCAGCCAGCTGTTACAGACCAAAGAATTTACAAATCAATTCTCTATTGCTCTAATACAAGAAAACAGGCACTTTGGAGACACTTTGGGCAGCATGCCTAATTTGAGATTCTGGAGAAACAAGATTACATCTGTTCCACTCATCTCCTTGCTACACAGAAGTACTAAAGAGAACAGAGTAGTGCTCGGCTGTCCACCAGCTAAGACTTACTTAGTCCAGCAGCTAAGACTTACTTCCACTCTAGTTTTTTCCATCCCTTTTCTCCAGTCCTTAATTGACATATTGCCCTGGCCCTTTTCACCACATGATCAATCATAGAATTTTCTATCCAACACATACTTTCAGGTCTACATTATTTGTAAGTTCCCCCAAATAACATAGCATCAAACACATTGTTAATATTTATTTCTAAAATTTAATTTCTGTAAGTCAAAACTCTCTTCCACAATCTCCGTACTTAATTCTATATACCTAACCTGAAATTAAAGTGGATTGGTCACAACCCTATGTTAGGCTGATTCTTGGAGTTCCTGCTTCTGTCTGCTGTCAACAGGCCAGATCTACCATCAATCTAAAACTAAACCAATAACAGTGGCTTTTAAAAAAACACGAATGTTATTTTAATAATTATTTTACTGTTAACATTATTTCATTGATTCACTGTTTATGACATCCTGATATAACAAATTATTTATTCTAAAATAATTTAATGTGGTTATCTATCAAAAAATTTATATAATTTGTAATTATGCAGTTTGTCCCAACTTTTGATTTCTCTGATATCAAGAAATTTATGTTGTAAAAAGGAATTATATGAAAATCCTCCCAGGATTCAACTATTATAGATTCAGGTAAAATTGTTCTCACATACCACCTTCAACAAGTCAATTCAAAATGTGAACAGAACTAATTTTACATATTTTCTAGTAATCTTCTTAAAAACAGAAAATGACTTCTTTTCTATTATTTCTTACAATATCAAATGCATTATCATGCAAATAATCAGCTTACTCGTAATATTCACCAAATTGAAGAATTTCCCAGTCATTCATAAACCATGTATCTTTGGAAATTTATGTTGTATTATAAAATAGATTGTAAAATAGTATAAAGAGAGGCAACATTTTAGGGGGGAAAATGACCAACTCCTAGTAGGCAAGTTTATGGTCAGTTTCACCATTCAAAAGGTCAAGATGATCTTGCATAGGAAGAAAGGTTACCATTACATTTCATTGTCTGCTATACTCAAACCAATCTTTATAATGTAATGTACTTTGACAGAGCAACAGAGAGAAATTTCTCTGATTTGTAAAAGAAATGGCAATTTTAAGAGTAATTTTTTTCACCTTGAAAATTATTGAGATATCCATATTTAAATACCACTAAAGAAAATAACCAAAAATCTTTACGGTTTGGTTCTTTTGAAAGGTCATAAATACAGTGAAAAACAGCAGAATGCTGTGAAGCCAATGCCTAGAGGAATCCCGAAGTATTGCCAAGAAACAGAATGTACTCATGGTGACTAATACATGCAAATACTGGAAATAAATTCTAACAGATTACACAGGTTTTGTAGCAACTAAAGGTATATTCAAATCATTCCAAAATTAATCAAGCTTAAGAATGTGGCAGTCTTCCCTGCTAATAAGAATATAAGCTGGTTAAGTAGCCTGGCTAACATATAAATTATAGCCAATATCAGTAGGTAGAATTTTTTTAATTAAAAAGGAGAAATTTATCCCATAATGGAATCAATTTACTGTTTCAGACTTTGTTAAATGTGTTCATTTTTAATACACGTCAGTTCACTCTGATGAGGCGTTAAATAATAATCATGCTACAGAATCAAGAAAGCAACATCATCTTTCTATTGAGAAATCCTGAAACATTTTTTATCAGCTATGCCCCTTGATTATTTACTGGGACATAGCTGGTAAGTTGTCTAACACTGAAGGAGAAAGATGTGATCTAAAAAGATAAATAAAATCTAGGTTTTTTCAAAATCTGAATGCCAAACACAAGTAGTTTCTTACTGATGAACATAATTCTGAGAATAGGCTCTAACAAAGCAAAGGTAAATCCTTATAACTTGATTGTTCAAAATAGTGTAACATAGCACAGTTTCAAGATAAAATGGATATACAAATTTTTTTGCTGTGAGGAGTCTCTACTCTCTATAGTTAACACATTTTAGTGACGTCAAGTCTGTTCAGTTTGAAAATGAAAGTAAGTAAATGTGAATCTCTCTGGATCAAAAAAATGTCTTCAGACATACTTAAATGTTACAAGCTTTCTTTGTGAAACCCAGATTTACAATCTTCTTTCAGCTATAAGTAATAGTTTAGCATTAGATCTATCTTAAAAGCACCAACAGCATCAGTACATCAACAGACCTCAGAAATTATTAAAGTCATATGTCTTTTAAAACACTTCAAATATTATAATGTACATTTCAGCAAATTAGCTTGTATCTCAGATGTTGATAAGCATGATTTCACTTAGCAAACTTTTTAGCTGTGTGGAGGACTATAATAATAATAGCACCACTCTTTATGCTTAAGCAATTGCAGATAAAATTTTTTAATACATCACTATCTGTAAACAGCCATAATACTATATTTTTATCAGTTTGATCAATTTATGTTATTTTATCACTTGAAGCAAAAGATGCACTTTGACAAATCAGGCTTAATCTAGAAAAACCTAAATAGCCCAAAACCCTTGATATTAATCATACAAAGAATTTCTTCCTTTACTCTTCCTTTTCTAAAACTAAAGTAAACACAAAGCCCAAACACACACACATTTTTCTAAAATTCATATAATTTAGCTGCTGCCCATTATTATATTACTTTTTAAAATATCAAAAGGAAAATCTGATAATAAACCATTATATTACTTAATAATATATAATAAATTACTGAAAACTAACAAAAGCAATAATCCTACATTCTAATAGTATCATCAGAATCCACAAGGTCATACCTGATGACTTAGAGATTGAAAAGGCTCACAGGATCCAGACTGCATGACCTTTCTATTTCCAGAAACCCCTAAAGATTGCATTTCCTGTCTTACAAAAGATAAGCACAGCCATCTCTATCTCTCAGCATCTTCAGGGCTAGTGCAGAAATTATCAAACAGCAAATCTGTGCACCAGCATCTGTTTAAGCCATCATCAAGATACAAGATCTTATGTACTATTTATGATCTCCCCGTGCCGTTACAAATACCCGTACTAACAGGCTGACACAGTTGTGTTTGCTGATGCTGCTAGCGCTGTCTGGAAACAGTAAGCTTACTGCTTAGAGCAATTCTGCATCAGCCAAACAGAATCAGTCACACCCTTCAGGTTACCTTCTTCTTCTACTATCGAGATTTCACTTGCCAAAAAGACTTTGATTTTTTTAATCAGTCCTTTAAAAATAAGTGATACTCTATTTAATTAAGTACCCAATATGTCTGCTGCAAATAGCATATTAACATGTTAATTCTGTCATTAGAAAGCTTTCTCCATACATTACTAAGCTGCAGCAACATGACTTAACAAGTAAAATTGTACTCCCTTTTAAAAGACTTTCTTCCACACCATGTGTATTATTTCTTATCCAATGCATTTAAATTAGAAGTGCCTAAAGATGAAGAATATTTACTCTGGCAACTGTTGATAATTGTATATAACAGTAAATTGGAAAATATTTATTCACTACTTAATATTTAGAAACATTATCTTTATTTCATATTCATCAGGCCAACACGCTCCAAGTAAAAATATCTTTTATATTTTTATTTAAATCTTCTGAAGTTGGAAATGCAAAATAATATATGCTATTATTAAATTCCAAGACTGAATTATAAATCTATAATGAAACCTATGTAAAAATTATTAGCATTTTATTATGAATTCTTATTATATCCTAACCATCAAAATTCTAGTTATGATTCCTTTTACCATGACAAAACAGTTAGGAAAATTTTTAAGACTAGTAACATGTCTGAATTAAAGAACTAAAATTATAATTGAAAAGCTTTCTGTTTATGATATGTTTTAGCAATAAAGCCAAAATAGACTAAAATTATAGTTAATTAATGAGTTAATTCAAAATTAGGACTCAAAGTACCCTAACCTTATAATAGCCCTCACATTTAGGTAGATCCTGAATTAGTAATGCTCTGAATACTTTATTTATATGCCTGTAAAATAAACTAATTGAACTTTCATTATAGCTAAAGTGCTGTACAGGAAATATTTGAGCAAAAAGTAAACAAATAAGAAACCAGTATCATCCTTCCCCTACTCACATTTGATGAGTATCATATGTATTATCATGCAGGCTGGTCATACTGAGTCTTAAGAAATTATGCTTCTCTTTTTATTTTATTTTAAAGAGACAAGTGAAATAAATCAGAATTGCATGTATAAACACTGTGTTATCTGCCTAGTGTAAGAAACTGAAAGTAAATAAGATCCAAAAAGTACAATAGATATAGTGAAAGCGAAAGAAATTGCTCAAAAGGAAAGAACTGCAATGAGGGAAAAGAGAAAAGAAAGAAAGGGAAAAACGATATGCATATACACACAAGAAAGAATGCTTCTTTAATAAGCTGACCCACACTATCTAGAGAAATTACTGCCTCTAAATGCAGAAGTGCAGATATAGGACATAGTATTTTGGCTGCATGTATACCTCACACGCCTGAGCAAAAGATACAAGGAGAAAAAGATAGTTCAGCTCTAAGTATTTACCTTCATTTTTTAATCAAAATAAGTATTCATCTTTCAAGACCTATTTTTTCAGTAAGTCCTTCCTAAACTATGCTACATCATCTCTCTTTCTGTACTCATTCTTTCCTACCGAAAATATCAACCATCTTCAACCTGTTAGATACTCAATAGGTGCGAGAGACTCCTTGACAAGCAACCAAACTTGTCTGTACATAAAGGAGGTAAATGAGTGTGTTTTGTTATGATAGAGTATGAAAGCTAGAACAGGCATCCTATCATGGTATAAAGATCAAAGGAATCTCCCTGTAATAACTGAAAGGATCCTGAGTAAGTCACATTCAAACAATGGTAAATACTGTACAACACTGTTAGACCATGAAGTGTATAAACAGATAAGAGAGATGAGCAGCCACGGACCTACGGTGGGAACACAAACAAGTTAGAAGGACAGTACATAATTTTGGTTAGGAAATGAAGGCCAGAACCAAAGAGCATGCAGAAGGTATGAAGAGAAACGAATAGATTCCAAATATAAATCTTAGTGAACATGGATGTAATTTGAGAACTTATGTGAGAAATGAGGGACAGAGAAACGTCAAGGTTATTTCTAACTTCTTGTATCAATTTTGATCTCATTTTACAATAGTATTCATCATGCACTTTGGGATTTTTCATTTACCAATTCCATGTGCATATGCTTCATTTTTAGAAATTAGCTGGAAAGTCTTGAGAGAATGTTTAGTCTATAGTCCTTCTTGGTCCTTTTAATGGAAAAAAAGGTAAAACTAAATGTCATGACAAGATGATAAGAGAATAACAATAGTTAATATATTGCATATTATTATCTTAAAAGTAGTTACTCAGAGTATAAAATACAGGCATAAAAAATTCTCCAATCGATATAAGTGTAAAACTTCCTCTTCTGTGAACTAAGAGACACTAATAGTGTAACTAACTGGACTTTTTCTGTCTTTTACCTTCCTTCCTTCCTTTCTCCTTTCCCCCCTCACAATTGCTTTTTCCTTTTTTAGCAATTTCTTCCCATTTCACAATATCTATTTTACATTTAGACCTTATTTACTCTTTCAGTTTCTCACACTAGGAAGGCAATACAATGTTTACATATGTGATAGTGATTCATTTCACTTATGAATATGGTCTCAAGCTGCAACTCAAGTTTATCATTCTTTATGGCTAAGTAGTACTCCATTATATAAAAATACCACATTTTTTTATCCATTCATCAGTGGATGGGCATTTGGGTTGTTTCCAGGATTTAGCTATTACAAATTGTGCTGCTACAAACATGAGTGCACATATATTGCGGTGGTATGATGTTTTCAATTCTTCTGGGAGGATACCCAGAGGGGAATGGCTGAGTCTGATGGGACCTCTAATCCTAGCTTTTTGAGGAATCTCCTTACTGATTTACACAATGGTTGCACCAGTCTACACTCCCACTAAAAGTGAGAAGTGGTTCCTTTTCACCACTACCCTCGCAGCATTTGTTGTTGGTTAATTTCTTGATGATAGTTATTCTTTTTGGAGTGAGATGAACTCTGAATGTTGTTTAATTTGCATCTCCAAAAGACTAGCGATGTTGAATATTTTTCCATATATTTGTTTGCCATTTGCATTTCTTCATCTGAAAAGTATATTTGTTTCTGGTGCCAATTTTTTATTGGGTCTTTGAACTTGGGGGGAGTGGTTTCTTTTCTGTTATTTATATGTTCTAGATAGAAGTGTTTTCTCTGAGAAAGAGTTGGCTAAATTTTTTCCCAATCTGTGGGTTGTCTTTTCACTCTGTAATTTCTTTTGATGAGCAAAAGCTTTTTAATAAGATGAGGCCCCAGTTGTTGATTCTTTGAAGTATTTCCCATGCAGTCACTAAGAGAGAAATCAGGGCAACCACACCCTTCATATAACATACCCAAAAAATGAAATACTTAGGAAGCAACCTGACAAAAGAAGTAAAAGACCTATACACTGAAAATTACAGTACTCTGAAAGAGGAGATCAAAGAGGACATCAGGAAATGGAAAGATATCCCTTGCTCATGGATAGGAAGAACCAACATAGTGAAACTGGCCATACTCCCAAAACCATTATACAGATTTAATGTAATCCTAATCAAAACACCATTAACATACCTCACAGAAGTTAAAAAGGTTCCTAAAATTCATTTGGAACCAGAAGAGAAGTAGAATAACAAAAGCAGTTCTGGACAACAAAGGCAAGGCAGGAGGCATTACAATCCCTGACTTGAAATTATACAACAAAGATACTGTGATAAAATCAACATGATATTGGCCAAAAACAGACCTGAGGAATAGTGGAATAGATTAGAAGATGCAGACACAACTACAAATACATTCAGCCACCTTATCTTTGACAAAGGAGCCAAACATGTTCACTGGAAGACAGCTTCTCCAACGAATGGTGCTGAAAAAACTGGCTTTCTATATGCTGAAGACTAAAACTAGACCCAGGTCTATCACCAGGCACTAAACTAAACTCAAAATGGATCAAAGATCTAAATATTAAAATACAAACACTCACTCTGCTGGAAGAGAAAGTAGGTAGAAATCTTGAAGACATAGGTGTAGACAGAGAGTTCATGAACAAAACCCAAACTGCTTGGATATTCTTCTCATATTTTCTTCTCTCTCT